CATAGACCTATGTTCTGACAGAGTACTGGCTACCATAGTTGTTTCCCTCTCTCCCTTCCTCTCTTCTACCCTTTTATTATTTGAGGCAGGGTTTCTCTGTATCTCTGGCTGATCTGGAACTCGATTTTTAGATCAGACTAGCCTTGAACTCACAGAGATCCACCTGTCTGTTTTCCCAAGTGCTGGGATTAAAGGCAAGCACCACCACGGTCATGTAAATGAGTGCTTTGCCTGCAGGTATGTTTGTGTACCACTTGCATGGCTGATGGTGGCGTCTCTTGGAACTGGAATTAGAGATGGTTGGAGACACACTGTGGATGCTAGGAACTGTGTTCCTTCCCCCCACTCCCCACCCTGAGACAGGGTTTCTCTGTGTAGCTTGGGAGTCTGTCCTGGAACTTGCTTTGTAGACGAGGCTGGGCTCGAACTCAGAGATCGCCTGCCTCTGCTTCCTGACTGCTGGGATTAAAGGCGAGCACCACCACTGCCTGGCTCCAATGGCCTCTTTTGACCTCCATGGACGCCAGACAAGCAAGTGGTGCACAGGCATTTCTCTCATAGTCATAACAACATATGCAGTATTTATGGGCTAGTAATGTATCTCAGCTAGGTAGAGTGCTTACCCTAGTATGTGCAAAGCCTTGCTTTGATCCTCAGTACCACATGTGCATGGTGGCACATAACCAAAATCCCAGTACTTAATACACTGAGGCAGAAAGATTGCCACAGCTTTGAGGTTGGCCTGGGCTGCATAGGGAGACTGAGAGAACAGTAATAGCCAAAAATGAACAGTAATGGCACAAATTGCTGCTTTACATTCATCAATGCTGTATCAAGGATTGCTTTCTATACTATTTTTTTTTACCATTTATTTTCATATTTGTGTGTCTGTACATGTGTGTATATGCACATGTGGGTACAGGGAGATTAGAGGACAACTTGTCTTGGTGTGTGAGTTGTTGGTTCTTTCCTACCATGTGGGTTCTAGAAATTATCACTTTTGGTGTCAACTCGCTTTCCTTACTGAACCATGTTGCTGGCCTTCTTTTTCTTTTTCCTGCCCTGTTTTCTTTCCCCGTTTCCTTCTTTGGAGACAAGGTTTAATGTAGTCTAGGCTGGCCTCACATTTGCTGTGCTGCTGAACATGATCTTCAAGTTCTTTTTCTTTCTTTCTTTTTTTTAAAGATTTTATTTATTATGTATAATACATTCAGTTTCCATGTATATCTGCACACCAGAAGAGGGCACCAGATTTCATAATGGATGGTTGTGAGCTACCATGTGGTTGCTGGGAATTGAACTCAGGACCTCTGGAAGAGCAGTCAGTGCTCTTAATCTCTGAGTCATCTCTCCAGCCCGATCTTCAATTTCTGATCCTCCTCCTCCCACCTCCCTAGTTTTGAGATCGCACCCAGCCAGAATTTCATGTCACTCTTACCAACTGATTCTGTATTTTCTCATTAGCAGTAATGTTCACTTAGTTAGCTTCATATGGTTATCTTCAGTGTTCTGTGCTGGTTTGCTCTCTTAATAGCTACATTGCTTATTAGGAGCTGTGTCTTTTACAAATATCCCCTCCCTTCCCCTTGCTTTTTGAGACAGGGTTTCTTTTGCTGCCCTGGGACTTGCTATGTAGCTTCAAACTCAGAGAGGTGCCTGCCTCTGCCTCCCTAGTCCTGCTATTAAAGGTGTGCCTTTAATAGTTTGTGTTAAGGCATTAGTAATGCTTTGTAGATCTACAGGAGTATCAGGAAATCCAAGACTAGAACTTTTGCCTTGTGTTGAACTGTTAGAAGAAAATTATAGAAGAACAGTTTTGCAGTTATCCTCACTAAAGTTGCAGTGCCAAAATGTGACACTTCAGGGGTTTGTGTGAGAGCTGCAACCTCTGGTTGTTGCACTCTTCATGGTAGCATACTGTTTTTCTTTTTTTAAGATTCTTTTTTTATTTATTTCTTACGTATACAATATTCTGCTTCCATGTATATCTGCACACCAGAAGAGGGCACCAGACCTCATAATGGATAGTTGTGAGCTACCGTGTGGTTGCTGGGAATTGAACTCAGGACCTCTGGAAGAGCAGTCAGTGCTCTTAATCTCTGAGCCATCTCTCCAGCCCTAGCATACTGTTTTTCATTTTTAGAAATTATGTTTCCATCATTGGCAGCAGAACTGAGAAGTAAATTATAAAATAAGGCTTTGTAGCTGGGCTGTTGTGGCACACACCTTTAATCCCAGCACTCAGGAGGCAGAGGCAGGCAGATCTCTTAGTTTGATGCCAGAGTGGTCTACAGAGTTGAGTTGCAGGACAGCCAAGACTGTTACATAGAGAAATCCTGTTTTGGAAAACCAAACAAAAAATAAGAACAAAACCACAATAAGGCTTTGTAATCAAAGGTTTGTAGGTATTTGTTGTTAAGCAATGATTCAGTATCTGTTAGGTTACTTATTTATTCTGAGATAAGTGCTGGTGATGTCTTGCGTAGCATGCCCAAAGGCCCTGGGATTGATCCCAGCAACCCTCCCCCCCCAAAAAAAAAAACAACCCAAAAAAGATAAATTACAGAAATAATCAAATTTATGTTACCAAAATGATTATAATAAAATTGAGAGTTGCATATTCAGTGACATACCCTGAACTACTACCACAAGTCAGGGACAGAGCAGAATCAGCACAGATTTGATCCAGAGGCCATGCCTTTCTAGGGCTGTTGTCCATGTTTCCTAATGTTCCTGAGTCACACATTGAGATTTTTAAGTTAGGATGTGGGGGTAGTAGGAGGTTTGGATTGTGAAATGGATGTTTAAATCAAACCACAAAACTCTAAAGAATAACTATTAACTTGTTAGAAAATCGAGTTCTGAAAACTACTTGTTTTTAACTTTTCATTTTCTTTTTATCTTTAGTTATTTGCAGATAAAGACCCTACTCTAGACCATGTAGAATGCTTCTTTATAATGGGATTCATCATGGTGATGGCACTTTTTGAGCTGATTTAATAAATTCTTCATACACGAATAATGTTTTTTCTCTAGAGTGAAAAAAGGTCCATTTTTTCCTCTTAATTATAATATGGGGGTCATGTGGACAGATAGAAGGACAAGTGTAAAAATTAATTATTTACTTAGTGTTTTACTAACCAGAGAATTGGGAGAGTTGTAGGAAAAGCAGTTTTCTAATTTATCATCTCTTTCCTTTTCAAAAGCTTGACTCTAATTAGATCCATTAGTCCTGTAACATATTATCATTGTTTATTTCATTTTATACAGAAGTGGATGCTATGTAGTTATTTTTGAAAAAACTGATGATTTATAAGATGTTTTGCTTAAAAATCTTAGTGGGAGAAATGAAGTATGAAGGTCATACTTGTGGCTGTTTAAATTGGTTGGTAAAACTCAGTGCCTCCAGTTTTCTTAACACTTACACATAATAGACAAAGTATTTTTGCTTTACTAAAATACACATCTCCTCCTCCACCACAAATTCATAGTGCTAATTTCCTAGGATACAGTAAGAAGCCTCTCATGTGTGTTTATCATTAATAATCATCTTTTGAACAAAAAAAAAAGAGATACTGTCATCTCAGAAAAAAGGTGAAACTGTTAGGATGCTTTTAGAATGCATAAAAGTCATGTTTTTCATCCTGTGCTTTTATTCAAATATGAGTGATAAAAACTTAAAAAACGAGTTACTGTTTCTATATTAAAAAATATTTATTATATAAAAAAGTAAAAGTGATTGATGTTTTTTATTTGATGTGAAAAGAAGATGCTAAAGACCTTAAATAGTCATTCTTGCTGTTCTATCCATTCAGAAGGTGCTCATAAAAACCAACAAATTCGGGGCTAGAGAGATGGCTCAGCGGTTAAGAGCACTGACTGTTCTTCCAGAGGTCTTGAGTTCAATTCCCAGCAACTACATGGTGGCTCACAACCACCTTGAAAAAGATCTGGTGCCCTCTGCTGGCATGCAGCCCTCTGCTGGCATGCAGGCACAAGACTATACATAATAAATAAATAAAATCTTAAAAAAAAAAAAACAACAACAAATTCACTACTGAATTTTTTGTTAAGCTTTCTTTCATAAATGTAGTCATGTTACTTACATAAAAATATGGAATTCAAATTTGAAAAACTTGTACATTGGGGTTTAGTTTTAAATTGAGGAAACTGGTAAATTATGAGCGCTTAGTATATAGACCAATAAAATAACAAGAAAAGCATAAGATGGTAAATGGAGAGAGCTCATTTCCATGCACGTCAAATCTTTAGAAGAGAATGTTAATATGAATCACATTGGGTGTTTTTCTGAATTATTTAAGATTACCATGGCTCTTGAGGATGGGCTGTCACAAGGTTATGAAATGTACTTTGAGAAGCATTAAGTGAAAAATAAGTAGATTTAGATAAGTTTAAAGTTGGTTTGTTTTAGTCAGAAGATAGTTGTCATTGAAGTAAGTGAAGCAGAAAAATAAGACATTAGATTAGCAGGTACTAGTAACGAATTTAGGCTTTTTACCATGGAAAGGAATGCTATGCCTAGGGTGTTTATCATTTCGGGGATGGTATAGTAATTTTTTCAGCTAATCAAATATCTAGAGTTGTTATGATTAATTCAAATTAGAGCTTATGGCCTAAATGGCTTTCATTAAACCATACACTTTGTTGTAATTGAGCAGAGATAGTGTAGAGACAGTGTCTTTTAGCAATCAACTGCAGATGATTAGCATGCATTGTATTGGCCAATGAAATAATTTGTCTATAATAAATAAGGTCAGCAAGCAATTGTGCTCTTGTTCAAATTGGTACCATTTTATTAAAAATTTTGAGATATGTTTATTTAAACATTTTTTAGGTTTTAGAAAAGCTTGGACTTGTTTTACTAAAGTAGATAGATAATCACATGAAAAATGGGTTTTTAATTTTTTAATAGGTAATATTTTAAAATAGGCTTTCTTCTTGTTGGTATAACTAACATTTATTTTCTGTTTATTTTTAAGACGAGCAAAAATCAAATTAAAGTAGATCTTGTAGATGAGAATTTTACAGAATTAAGAGGAGAAATAGCAGGACCTCCAGACACACCATATGAAGGCAAGTACTTTTTTCTGTATCAAAATATTGTGCGTATTAGAACTTGTCTGAAAGATTGAGTCAGTAATCTTGAGCATCTACAAAATTCATGGAAGGCAATCTTATTTGGCTTAGGGTATACTGCAGTTTAAAAAATGATCAGTTTTGACACTTAACTCATTTTTCATACTGAGTTTTAGGCAATTAAAATTTTTTTTTTCAAATACATCTCATAGAGCCAGGTTACAGGTTATGTAGGCTAGAATTTAACATTCCATTTGTCTTATTCTGCTATGCCATAAAGCGTAAAGCCTCTTTCTTTATCTTGTTCTCAATTCTGTTGTGTAAAGTAGCCACACATTTTATAGCATAACAGGATTAAATATAGAATGTTAAGCCATGAATTTAGATATACTCAGACACCCTTGATGTGATTGATAACAAACCTTGTCTTAACATTTTGAGTAATAAGATAATGGTTTTGCTTTTAAACTCCCCGTCCCTATCATTTCATATTTCATTTGGTCACGTAATTATATAGGTTTTTAGATACTTAATTTTCTTTATTTAAAATCACTCTGAGTGGTTATATAAAAAAGGAAATAGCTTTGTTGCTTTCCATGTTCATAATTATGACTTTTAGTTCTTTACCTGGAATTAAGTATATGATAAAGGAAGAAACTGGAGGATTTGGATTTCTTAGACAAATCTTCATTAATGAGTATTACTGCAACTTTGGGTCATGTAGGATATCCATGGCTTTTGCATATTGCATAATAACTATTCAAGCATTTGTATAATAGAAAGCATATGGCCTTATGTGGTAGCTCTTCTTTGTATTCAGTTTTCACCTAATCATACAAGGTAAGTATAATCCTGTTTAATAGACAAATTTGAGTTTCGAGATAAGTCATTTGTCTAAGGTCGAACAGCGGGATTTAGCTTGCCTTTTGCTTCAGAGCCTATGCTTTTAAATAACTTTCTGCTTTTGATTAAATCGGGTTTTACCAAGTATTAATAGGGGTGCTTATGGCTTCTTTAAATGTGTCTCAGTTCAGAAAAACCCAATATTCTTGGCAAAGTTTGTTTTCATTCAAAACCTTAAAAGATCCTAGGCCGTCATTAAGTATCACTATAAATTCTTTCTTCTTTTTTGAAACAGGGCTTTTCTTTGTAGCTTGAGCTAGCTTCAAACTCAGCAGTCCTTTTGCTTCATTTTGCTATATGTTGGGATTATAGCCTGGGTTTCATCTCTCTCACAACATACTCTCTCCCTACTCCTGTCTGATTTGTTGAGACAGGTTCTCCTGTGATCTAAGCTGTCCTCAGACTGGCAGCTGTGGTTGAGGCTGGTTCTGAGTTCCTGCTCCTCCTCCTTCTATTTTCCCAGCTGCTGGATATACAGTCATAGCTCATATGCTGGGGCAACAATTTTGAAGTGCAAACAATTTTTATATTGCTAAATATTCTATACCTACTAGTATGTCTGGCTTGCTGTACATGTTCTCTCTCAACCCCCTCAACCCACCCTTACCCCCAAGACAGGGTCTCACTATGTAGCTCCGGCTGTCCTGGAATTTACTAGACCAGGCTGGACTTGAACTCACAGAGATCTGCCTGCCTCTGTCTCCCAACTGCTGGGATTAAAGGTGTATGCCACCACATCTGGCTGATTTAGTTCTTTTGATATTAGAAGATTTTAATTACCTTATAAAAATCAAATATCTTAGTAGCAAATATTGTTTTGATCTCCTACCTTCTTTAATGCCAGGTATTATAATTGTGTTTTTGTTTCATTTTTTTGTGGTACCAAGAATCAAATTCAAGGCCTTGTGCATGGTCCTAAGCAGTTATAAATTGAGCTACATTCCTAACCTCATAATTGTTCCCGAAGTGCTTTTTGAGATTGTTTAGATAGCTTTAAAATGCAAGAAATAGTATTTTTATTCTAGAACTCTCTGGCAAACTTAGAATACACAGGTACCTCATTAACTCAGTGGATAGATTTTTTTTTTTTTTTTTACCTTTTTAGTCATGTTTCATAAGTAAAAGAACTTGTAAATGTTTAATTAAAATAAAACATTCCATACTTGTCAGAAACAAGTTATTTAAGTGCTTATTTCTGTAGCTGCTTCAAAATAAGACATTTTTAAAATTTTATTTATTATGTATACAATGTTTTACTTGCCCATTTGCATGCACGTCAGAAGAGGGAAAAGGGCACCAGATCTCATTACAGATGTTTGTGAGCCACCATGTGGTTGCTGGGAGTTGAACTCATGACCTGTGGAAGAGCAGCCAGTGCTCTTAAGCTCTGAGCCATCTTTCCAGCTCCCAAAATAAGACATTTTTATTAGTTTCCTTATGGTTTGGGGGCATGTGCTTGAACTGTAGATTGTTTTAAGATCTTTTTAACATAAAAGTGTTACAGCAGTATTTGAAGAAAAAGTACCATTTAAGTCATAAACTTTTCCTTCTGAATATTATAAACACAGGTGAAAAATAGGTTTACTGTGGGAAGATATGGGGTTTTTGTTGTTTCCTTTTTTCCTTTTTCTTTTTTTTTTTTTTTTTTTTTTTTTTTTTTTTTTTTTTTTTTGAGCTGAGATAGGCATTCTGAGCATAGAATTCAGGGCCATGTCCTTGCTGGGCAAGCTCTAACTGAGCTGTATTTCCTCAGTCTGCTTTTGCTTTTGGTCTAACTTAAAGCTAAAGTGAAAGTTTACTTGTAAAATATTCATCTGTATTATCATTAAAAGGCAATTTTATGTAGTATTAAAAATAACCATATTGAGCCAGACATTGGTGGCACATATGTCTCTCATCCCAGCACTTGGGATCTTTGTGAGTTTGAAGCCAGCCTGGTCTACAGATCAAGTGTCAGGATAGGCTCCAAAGCTACACAGAGAAACCCTTTCTGGAAAAAACAAACAAACCAAAACAGGTTGTCAAGGAGAATAAACATAGAAAGTTTCCATATTGTATTTCACTATCTCAGTTTTTTTTTTAACTTCTTTTTCCTAAATAACTTAATGGTAAAGAACTAATTTAGTTCTTTTTGTGTAAAAGTTCTTTCAGATTTGTTGAATTTAAATGGGCAGTTCAGTAATTCTCATCCACTTCCTTTCTTCTCTTTAGAGGAAGTTAAAGTTCACAATTGTTTCTCTGGACATAGTGGGCCAAGGCTTGTATCCCTAGCATTTTGGGAGGCTGAGGATTGTTTTGAATTCAGGGCCACCCTAGGACACTTGAGTCCCAGATATTACTAGACTATAAAGGATGTGTTTCAACCCCAACCCCACCCTACAGGAGAAAAGAAAAAGTTGCTAAACGTTTGATAATTGGAAACTATTCTTAAAGTTGTGTGTAGTGGCATGTCTGTAGTTAGCTATTTAGGAGGGTGAAAGAGTTACTTGAGCCTAACAGTTCAAGGCTAGCGTAGGTAATATAGCAAGACCTGTTCTCTAAAATAAAGAGCCATAAAACATAAATAGAATAAAAATTAAATCCTTAAGAGGTAAAATAAATTATATTGAAGGTTGTTGTGTATAATGCTTATAAAAGTCCCTTAGATATTCAATGGTGGAGCTACTTGTATGACTGTGGGCCCTTGAGATTGCAGTACCCAGCAACAGTTAGCTGCTTTAACAGGCTATGATGTTTGTACAGGTGAGATCACTTAATGATACACTTCTCACATGCCTTGTCAAGTGGAAACTATTGTATGTCATGACCAATCTTATAGTGGTTTTGTATGAAAGTTGTTGTATAATAGAAGACAACCAATATAACATGGAGTAGCAGTAAGATTTTGAGAGCTCCACAATCTAACAGTATTTATATAATATTCTGGGCTCTTAAACTATTCCTAAAAATCGTTTTAAGCATTTAAGAAGGAAGAGCTTTGTGACAGATAATAAAGATGACACTCAGAAATTTAGTCAGAAAAAGAGACTCTTCAGGGAAAAGAAGAGCCTGTGTAGGCATAACACTCTGTGTGTGCTGCAGCCACTTCCTCATGTCATTTTATTCTCCTTTTAGTAAACTGCTGACAAAGAAAAAGATGAGTCTACATAGTATTCAAGCTAATTGCATTGTACCTGTCTTTGGAATTGTTATTTATAATATTTAATATAAATGGTCATTTCCGTATTTAGAAGGTTCTTTTCAGTACCCTTCTCTTACCTGTTGTCTTCTCTTGTTCTGACTGCTTTATATTTCACCTTTACCATATGTTTTTGATTCATTTTTCTTGTTTAATTCATATATCATTAAATGAGGGGACTCTACAAAAAGAATTGTAAGGCAAAAAGAATTGGAATAAGAAAGCTTTTGAAGATTGAGCATGATGTTGCATTTCTGTAATCCCAACACTTGCAAAACTGAGGCAGCAGAATTTCAGGTTTAAGGCTAGCCTGGGTGGATAGTGAGACCTTGGGATTTTCATGGGAGGGGAGTTGTTGCTTAAAGAACCTATTATCAGTGAAATGCTCTTGTATTTTTTCTGAGATTGACCTGTGTGCATTTGTAACAGTGGAGAAAGATTTGATAGGACACCTGATATACTGACAACAGTTCACTACTTAAATTTCTCAAGAGCTGAATGTTTGATCATTATAATGCCACTAGCATACTTTTACTATGTTAACTTTCATATGCATAGGAAGGGGTAACTAACTTAATAATATGGCTTGTTTGTTTTTAATCTAGTTCATTTCTTTATTATTAGTAGAAAAATTCCTTAGTTTAATGTTTATTTCAGGAGCCCAATTTTACTTCCTGCTTTTAAATAGTGGAATCCAGAACTGGGAGGTTAATTAGAGGTAGAGTTTTGCAGCAGAAGGGGAGGTGTGGGGAGGGGAAGTGTGTTAGGCAGACTGGCTTTGAATGCTCTGCTCTGTAGGTCAGCAGGGTTTTGAGTCAAGAGACCTTCTAGTCTCCCTATACTGTGTACTAGACTAGCTTTGTAGCAATGTGCTGCTACACCCAGTTTACAGAGTCTTCCTTTTCAGTCCATTATTGGAAGACTTTCTCCTTCAGAAATTAGGAACATGGAGTCATGGTTCACTTTGTGAGAACCTAGCTACATTTTTCTTTCTTTAAAGAACTTTAAAAAATGCCTGTTTAACAACTTGTGGTTGTTCAAGATAACTTCAGAAGCAAACAGAATGTTGCTGTTTATATAAATTATTGACAGTACTTTCTAAAGTCTTGGAAGAGGTTAGTGTTGTGTCCTATGCCTGTTTGTTTTGTTCTTTGCCTTTATTTTGAAATTTTAGACAAAATGTTGACATCTAATTTTGGGGCACATGTTGATTTTTTTTAGTTTTGTTCAAGACAGGTCTTATGTAGCCCAAGCTAGTCTTGAACTTTCTGTGAAGCCTTGGTGGACCTTGGGTTCCTGGTCCTTTCCTTTTTCTTTTCCCTTTCTTTCACCCTCTCACAGGGTTTCTCTATGTCGTTTTGGTTGCCCTGGAACTCACTCTGTAGACCAGAGTGGCTTCAAACTACAGAGATCCCCCTGCCTCTGTCTCAAGAGTGCTGGGACTAAAGGAGTGTGCCACCAACTCTCTGTGTTGATATTTTGTTTATGATCTAACAAATAAAGCTTGCTTGAAGATCAGAGTGCAAAGCCAGCCAAACTAGTTATCCATAGAGGCCAGGCAATGGTGTCACACACCTTTAATCCCAGCACTTGGGAGACAGAGGAAGACAGATCTCTATTAATTCAAGGCCACCCTGCGCTACTTGAAATTGATCTAGTCTAAAAGAGAATCAGAGCATCAGTAGAGGTGAGAACGCTGGTCACTTTGTCTCTCTGATCTTCAGCTTTAACCCCAACATCTGTCTCTGGGTTTTTATTAAGACCAACTAGAATTTATGCTACAGGCCCCAGTGGTTCTCTTCTTTCTATGCTATCCAAGTGCTTAGGTTATAGGTATTTAACTAGCTAAGAGTTTTGTGTCCTTTGTCTTTATACTGTCTATCCTTTAAATCTTTGCCTTTTTTTTTTTTTAAACCTTCTGTTTCCTGTTTAGTATATTTTATCATGTGGACTAGATAAAACAAGAACTCTGAACTTTATGCTGCTATTTAATAATGAAATATTTGACATTGGTTTGTCTATAGAGTTAATATGTCTGTAGTTCTGATACCGTTAATTAGTATAATTGGGAATTTTATATGCTCTAAATAGTCTTATAAAATAACTTTGGTTATTTTATTTTGGGTTTTTAATTTTCTTAGTACAAAATAATACATATTTTGAAACTGTCTTTCAGTGTATTTGTTTTATGTAATTGAGTTGATCAGCATTCTCAAATTTGTTTTTTTCCCTTTTTTTGTTTTTTTAGGTGGACGCTATCAACTAGAGATAAAAATACCAGAAACATATCCATTTAATCCCCCTAAGGTATTGTAACCCTGTCTTTGTGCATGGAGTTTTAAAAATACTCTGTATTTCTTGACTCACCTTAGTAATATATGAATATCAATACATTTTAGTACTTATTAAAATTACAACATTCTGAGTTAAGTGTGACTAAATCTAATGGACATAATTTCAGGCATTGGTCAATGGTTTGCTTCTGAAGTTAGAATGAAAAGCAAAGTTTACTAATGGTAACCATAGATGGCTGTATTTTGGAGTACACTTTGTATCTCATAATGGTCCAAATACTAGCTTCAGATAATTAGCTGTATTATTGCTTTAGAGAGAGGTTCATACTTGTTTTAAATGTTATTTGAAGAAGTATATGTTCTACACTCAATTAGAAATTGAAGATCAGGGATTAGCTAGCTCATTGGTAGAATACTTAACTTGCATGTATTAGGCCTTGGTTTTATTTGAATTACTGCCAAAAAGAAAAACCCCAAATAAACTACAATAGAAATCAAACAAACAAAAAATGAGTAAAAGTGTGCCAAGGAATTTATCAGTAAGACTTAACACTATCTGCTTTTATGCAGCTCACATTGTAGAAGGGAAAAGCCATTATTTTAAGTGAGAGAGAATGCTATCACTCTAGGATTGTATATAATAAGGAGACCTAGCCTAAACTTAGATTTTTGATCGTCAGTTTCTTTATACCTTTATATTTATAACCATCGTCTAGGCATCCAATTTTATTACTTGTTTTGCCTATTATATGATCAACTGTCCATCTTTGTCATCTTACTCATTTATTGTTCAGTAAATGTTCCTAAAGAAGAGTGCTATTTTGCTAATAGTGTCTAAACTCCTTATCCTGGCACTTAACAACTTCCCACAACTGGATCTCTGGACAGTTTTCTTGTCCATCTTAGTCTTTTATCCTTTCCATCTATACATGAGTCTCATTTCCCAGCCTAGATTATTTGCAGTTTGTAGATAGATGCTTATTCTTGTGTGCCTTCTATTGTTTTCCCTTGAGTCTTTATCCATATTATTTGAAATTCTAGTTTTCTTTTGAGCTGTGAGTAATTTATCTTTGTAAACTGTGCCCAACAAATACTTCTTTTTCAGCTTTCACTTTAAAAAATTAATAGATATAGGGGGCTGGAGAGATGCTGGCTCAGAGGTTAAGAGCCCTGGCTGTTCTTGCAAAGGTCCTATGTTCAGTTCCCAGCAACCACATGGTGGCTCTCAACCATCTGTAATGAGACCTCGCGCCCTCTTCTGGCCTGCAGACATATATGCAGACAGAACACTATACATAATAAATAAATCTTTAAAAAAATTAATAGATTTATCTTCTCTTGTTTATTTATTTAGGCAAGATCTCACCATGTAGACCAGGCTGGCCTTGAAATCAGAGATCTGCCTCCTGAGTGCTTGCTGGTTTTAAAGGCATGCACCACCACACCCAGCTAAGAAATTAACGGATTATTTTTAATTGTATATCTCTGTGTAGATATGTGCACATGGAAGTGCAGACACCTAAGGAGTCCAGAAGAGGACTGACTTACTTGAGTCTCCTGGAGCTAGCATTTTTGGTGGTTATGAGCTGCCTGACTATATTGGCAACGAAACATGGGTCCTTTACAAGAGCAGCAAGCACTCCTTAGTTTTTAAATATGTATATGAGTGTTTTGCTTGCATATATGTCTGTTCACTCTGTGATGCAGTGTACACAGACCAGAAGAGGGCATCCTCTGGTATTGGGTTTACAGATAATTGTAAGATGCCATGTGGTTGCTGGGAATCAAACCTGGGTTTACAAAAAACAAACAAACAAACAAACAAAAAACAGCCAGTGTCACCTTCATAACCCTCCATCAAACATTTTTAACCTCCGAGTCAACTCTACACCCTTGCCTCCCTCCTATTTTTGAGACAGTGTCTCACTTTACAGCTCTGACTTGCTTGGAACTCATTTCTGGCTTCAACTCCCAGAAATCCCGAATATCTTTGCCTCCCAAATACTGGATTTAATGGCCTGTATCAGCTTTCTTGGATTGTATTTTTGTCCTTAAAGGAATTCATGTGTATATGTGTGACTGTGAATATGCTGAGTGTTTATGGGTGCTAATGGAGGCTAGAAGAAGGTATCCCTTAAGCTGGGATCTGGATATGAGCAGTTCTGAGACATTGTAAGTTGCCATTTGTAGGTGCTAAGAACTGAACTTGGGTCCTGGAAGAGCAAGAAATGCTCTTAAATAATGAGCTGTCCCCTATCTCATTAGTGTTTTATAAAATTTATATAATGCTGACATAAATACTGTTAAAATTCATGTATTATATTTTTGTCTTTCAGTGGCCTTATTACTACTATGTTTTATCTATAGCTTTTGATAGTGTAATTCCTTGATTTAATATCTTAGTTGAAATGTCCTGGAATGCATCTCTCAACCTGTTGGTTGTTTCTGTTTAAAAATAGATAGAAATCAGCAGTTTGGTAGTGGTGTTGATGGTGGTGGTGTACACCTTTCATCCCAGCAGGCAGAAGGAAGCAGAAGCAGGCGGATCTCTGTGAGTTTGAGGCCAGCCTGGTCTATAAGAGCTAGTTCCAGGACAGCCTCCAAAGCCACAGAGAAACCCTGTCTCAAAAAACAAAACAAAACAAAAAAATGGGAACCTATAACCTCAACATTGGAGATGGTAGTTGGAGGACTGAGTTTCAGGTCTTCTGGGGCTGTGCCAGAGACCTATGGAAAATAAAACCAAAAAAGTATACAGAACCACAATACAAATAAAAAGGAATTAATGTGGTAGTGAAAATTACAGGTTGCATAGTTTTCATTCATTGTTTTCTGTTGCTTTGGATTGAACCTGTAGTCTTGTGCACATTAGACAAACACTTTACCACTCAGCTTCACCTGGCAGTACTCCAGGATGAGTTTGGAGCACCTAACTCTCTTGCTAATGTACATCTATCTGTTTTATGATATGGCTGACTTTTGAGGGGAAAGGGAGTTTGTTTTTCTTTTTGTAATTGTGGTAAAATAAACATTACCAATTTAATTCTTTTGATTGATTGAGACAGAGTAGCCCAGGCTGGTTATGTACTGTTGATGACCTTGAACTGCTTATCCTCTTGCATTCCCTGTGTGCCTAGAATGCAGGCAGGACTATTTGCATTCTAGGTAAGCACTCGAGAGCTACAACCCCAATCCCCTTAGCCTTTTTAGATGTACTGTTCAGCAATATGTATTCACATTTTGTGCACCCATAAGCATCTACTTCAGAGTTTTTTCATCTTCCTAAAATGAAATGTGTGTTCATTAAACAGTAATTCTGTAGTGCCCTACTTCCAGCTTTTAAAAAATACCGTTTAACTGAATGTGGTAGTACACACCTTTAATCCCAGCTGCAGGCCAGTGCTGTATGAGTCTCTTTGTGTCATCCTGACTGTCCTGGAACTCATTCTGTAGATCAGGTTAACCTAGCACTTGGGAGGCAGAGGCAGGTGAATCTCTGTGTGTTCCAGGCTAACCTGATCTGCATATTGAGTTCCAGGACAGCTTAGAGCAAAATAATAGAAGAGACCTTAAATAAAATACTGCCTCTCTCCCCAAGCAAAGAAAATTTTTTTTTTTTTTTTTTTTTTTTTTTTTTTCTGTGTCTATCAATTTGGCTCTTTTGGGTTCATTGTATAAGACTAATCACACAGTGTTTGTCCTTTGATGTCTGCCCTTAGCATTTTGTTGTCTCTGTTCATCCATGTTGTAACATGTCAAGATTTCCTTCATTTTTAATGTTGAGTGTTTCATTTATTGTATGTACATGTTCCACTTCAGTTATCCATTTACATGAATGGATTCTAAAAAAAATTATTTGCATGCTGGGCAGTGGTGGTGCATGCCTTTTAATCCCAGCACTGGGGAGGCAGAGGCAGGTGGATCTCTGTGAGTTTGAGGCCAGCTTGGTCTATAGAGCTAGGGCTACACAGAGAAACTCTGTATCAAAAAAATAAAAATACTTATTTGCTTATTTACCATGTATGCACAAACACTCTGTAAATGCAAGTGGGTCAATGTGCACACATTGATATTTGTTAAAGGACAAACGGAGGAGTTGTTTCTCCTACTTTATGGGGCCCAGGGATCAAACTCAGGTTGTAAGACTTGGCTTGGTAACAAGTGCCTTTGTTCTCAGAGCCATCTGGTTAGTCTTTGGGTTTTTTGTTTGTTTTGAGATAGTGTCCCACTGTGGAGCCTTTACTGTCCTGGAACTCGTAGAGATCTGCCTGCCTGTACCTTCCAAATTCTTAGAAGAAAGGTATATGATACTATGCCCAGTGGTTTTTTGTTTTCGAGAAGGGCTTTCTCTGTTGCCTGTGCTGGACTTGAACTCCTAGACTCAAGCAATATAGTAATTTTTTTCCCAGATGGAAATGAAAAGGAAGGAAGAAACAGGCTTTATAGCTGCTGCATTTTCAGAGTTAGGTAATGATGTTATTGGGTTGGAAGGAGTAAGAACAAAGTATTACTCCGAGTGTGTGTGTGTGTGTGTGTGTGTGTGTGTGTGTGTGTGTGTGTGTGTGTGTGTGTGTGTGTGTGTGTGTGTGTGTATGTGTATGTGTGTATATGTGTGTGTATGTGTGTGTGTGATTCAGACTCAGGTCTTTACACTTATGCATCAATTGATTTTTCTCACTGCCTCATGTTCTCAGCCCATTGGTTTAATTCTTTTCTATTTTTTGCTATGTTCAGTTTGAACATTGGGGCTGTGCCTACTAGGCAAATGCTTTGCCCCAGGATTTCTTCCTGTGGTAATAAAAATAATTTAGAATTAGATTCTGTAGGGCTGGGGATAAAGCTGTTTGAGCCCCCAGTTAGTATGGGCAACTCACTATTGGACTAGCCAATATAGCTATTAAATAAGAATTAAGTAGTAATTGCTTTAATTTTTTTATGTATATGGTTTTGCCTACATATATGTATGTGAACCATATGCATGCAGTGCCCTTGGAAGTCAGAAGACTGCCTTGTATCCCCTGGACTTAGAATTAGAAATAGTTGTATGGGAACTGGGGAGATGGCTCAATGGTTAATAGCACTGGCTGCTCTTCAAGAAGATCTGGGTTTGAGTCTCAGCACCCACATAATGGCTCATAGTCATCTGCAGCTCCAGTTCCATGGTATCCAATGCCTTCTTTTGGTCTTCCTAAATACCAGGTATACATGTGTACACAGGCATACATGCATACAAAACATCCTTATATCTTAAAACAGTATAGATCTGAGCCTTTGGTTTTCTTTAAATGCGGTTTATTTTTTTAAAAAGAAACAAATATCTGGATGCTTGGAATTGTGAAGCCCAGTACTCTGGAAGAATGACCAGTTCTATTGACCACTGAGCCATTTCTCCAGTTCTGAAATTGAGTATTAAATACCAATACTAATGTTTTTAAGATTTATTTTCATTTTATGTGCATTGGTATCATACCTGTTAGTGTATGGGTGTCCAATCCTTTGGAACTGGAATAACAGAAAGTAGTGAGCTACCATGTGGGTGCTGGGACTTGAAGCTGGGTTTTCTGGAAGAACAGCCGGTGTCCTTAACCAATGAGCCATCTCTCCAGCCCGCTAATACCAATCTTTAAGGTGCAGATCTGCTTGTCTTAAATAATATAGTTTTTTCTTCCCTTTAAGTGAAGTATTTTCCATTATGAAGTACATATAATATCCTTAATTTTTTTTAAATCAAAGTTAATGATGAAATTGTGAACTTATGTCTAACATGAAGGAGCTGTATATTTGTTGAATTAAGAGTGAGGGAAATGGAGATTGTACATTGTAGGAAGAGAGAATAATACTGATAATCGTTGCTAGTATGGCTGATTAATGTCTCTTTCACTTCTCTTCTGTAACATTTTTTCCTCTGTGTATACAATATTCAGATGTTTGCGTAGCAGTTGAACATTCACTATAACTAGTGAGTTTTGCATTTTCTTTTCTTTTCTTTCTTTCTTCTTTTTTTTTTTTTTTTTTTTTTTCCGAGATAGGGTTTCTCTGTGGCTTTGGAACTAGATCTTGTAGACCAGGCTGCCACTCAAGTGCTGGGATTAAAGGTGTGCACCACCACTACCCAGTTTTGATTTTTTTACACAGTGCTAATACCATTTTTGTGTAAAAATAATGAGACTTGAATTGTTTTTATTAGTGTATTGTAGTACTAGAGTATAATAACTCATATAAATGATTGTCATTAGAATAGAATGTGACTCTAAAAGAGCTTTCATTGTATCATTGTACTTCATGTGGAGATCAGAGGACAACGTTTAGATTGTGTTCTCACTTTCTACCTTTTCATGGGTTGCAGGGATTTGAATTCAGGCTTTCAGGCCCCACAGAACAAGTTGTTTTTTGTTTGTTTGTTTTTTAAGAGTCTCACAGGCTGTGAATGTATTGTATTCCAGTATTTTTGGGATTCAAGGCAGATAGGTCTCTTTGAGTTCCAGACCAGCTGAAACTCATCGTGAGACTCTTATCTCCCAAAGGGGGGTGAGGGCCTATCCAACTATGTTGACCTATTTCTGTTAACTTAGTTCAGGAATTAAAGAAATGGGAGAAATTGTTAGTATATGGTTGATACCAGGTGGGTTTAGAACAATGGTGTGGAAAGCATGGGGTTGCTTAGGTAGAACATAAGGCCCAGGAAAGCCAGACGTAACTGATGATAAAAAAAAGAAAAAGAAAAAGGAATATGGGATGGAATGCTGGTGTACATAAAAATGTCTTGTTAGTCTGTCACTGTTGTATGAGTAGATGATAATTGAGTGGCCTTTTGAAGAAGTTGTCTTTATTGGACCCTCTAAATTCAAATTTTTTTATAACAGGAAATTATCAATATAAGAATTACTTTAGTGGGGTGCTGGTAGCACACGCCTTTAATCACAGCACTCGGGAGGCAAGAAGCAAGCGGATCTCTGGAGACTTCGTCTCCAGAGCGAGTGACAGGATAGGCTCCAAAGCTACACAGAGAAAGAAACCCTGTCTCGATAAAACCAAAATAAATAAATAAACAAAATAAAAATAAAAAGAATTATTTTAACAATTTCCTTGGTCCCTTTAATTCCTTGGTTCTGTACATTTATAGCTTCAATAAATAATGTATAGGTTACCTTCCCTTTAGAAACAAAATATAGTGTTTTGCAATATAGCTTACTGGTACAGAAATCTTGCCTCTAGAATTTCCTGGGCCGTAGGTTTGAGACCCAACACAGTGGCTCCCCACTCCCTGCAAGAACAAGATAAATTAACATGTCCTCAGATCACTTGCCTAACCTGTTCTTTCTGGCATCTTTAGTAGTAATTTAAAATTCTGTTTTACAAAAGCTAGTTATGTTAGTGCAGCTTTAGAATTTCTTCTCTCTGGAGGCTGAGACAGGAGGATCCTGAATTTGAGGTCATTATCTTAAAAACAAAACAACAATAAAAAAAATACTTTATATTTCATTCTTGTCACAAAGGCCGAAACACTTTAAGATTACAAAATAGAGGCTCAAGAGTTGGCTCAGTGGTTAAGAGGCTACTCTTTCAGAGGTCCTGAGTTCAATTCCCAGCAATCACATGGTGGTTTACAACCATCTTATAGTAGGATCTGATGCTCTCTTCTGGTATAAAGGCATACATGCAGATTGAGATGCATTAACACAAATAAATAAGCCTTAAATAAAATGATTACAGGGTAGCTGGGTATGGTGGAATACACCTTTCATCCTTGAAGTGGCGAGAGGCAGTTTAAGCTCAAAGCCAGCCTGATCTATTTACATAATTCCAGGCCTATCAGGGATACATAGTGAGACTTCGTCTCAAATTAGCAAAAATTATAGAATACTATGCTTTTCTTAAGGTATTGCTGTTAATTTCAGTGATTATTTGATGTCTTTATGAGCTTAATTTACTGATCGGCTATTAAGTTGTACATTTTTGTGCTTATATCTGTTATAAAGAAATGGTTGCTGGAGAGCTGTATGGTTCAGTTTATAAAGTTCTTGTTGCTCTTCCAGAAGACCTGAGTTCAGTTCCTGGCACACATCTTAGGCAGCTTACAGTTTCCTGTAACTCCAAGTCCAAGGGATCTGACACCATGTCTAGCCTTTTCAGGGACCCATACAAGTGTAGTTCGAAAGGTAGGATCTTTTATTAAAGATGGGACAAGGCAGAAATTATAGATATGAAGTCAATTATATGATACAGGGAGAAATAAAGGTTACTGTGGGAATAGGTTAGGAAGAAGTGATAAATTATGGAAGCTAAAATATGACTTTAGCACAAGGAGTGTATAGAAGAATGTTACTGAGAAGAAAAAATGGCACACAAAAGTTGAGGCCAAAGAAAACAAAACCCTTGACTATGATAATGAGGCAGAGAGTAGAATATGGGATTTATGGAGACCTGAACTGTGGTCTGAAGTTAGGATAATAGCAAGATGTTATAACAGGTGAATGAGCCAGGCCTGTCACAAATAGTCAAACCATTCTTTAGAGCGATTGAGAGAAAGTTGGTATCATTGAATACAGTGAAAGTATTTGTTCTTATTTTGTTTTTGTAGTGCCAGCTGGCATGATCTGTCTAGGCAAATCAGGCTGGCTTCCCAACTCTCAGAGATCTGTCCTCTTGTGTCCCAGTGCTAGGATTAGAGATGTTGGCTACCATGCCCACCTTGATTTTAGTTTTCTTAAACTCTAAGATTGTTTCTTATTAGTGTCAAATCTAATAGTTGACCTTCGAATATTTATCTAATTTATCTAATAAGTATCTAATACATATTTATCAAAGTATTATCTAATAATTTTGAGAATAACTTGTATAGAAAAATTAGGACCATCGTACATATGCATCCATTTTTCTTTAAGCCTGTTTTTGTTCCTTACCTCAACTTGAGTAGGTATCATTTAATGTTTTCATTTGGTTTTACTTGCTGTTTTATTGGATTTTATAGTCTTATTTCTCATATCTGGCATAATATGAGGTACAGTGTAAACATCTGATAATTAGGTGTGTTTGAATGTAGAATGTACGTCAAAAGCTTCAAACATATGTCATTGACCTTTGGCGGATTGAAAGCTTTGATTTCTATATGGCTCCTTGGAAAAGTATGTCATAAAAGTGTATTTCTCTTTCATGATACCATTTTCTTCTAGTTCTATTTTACCTTTATATGTTAGCCTTTTTGTTTTGTTTTGTTTTTCCCTTATTATTTAAAAACTCAAGTGTGCTTTATATTCTAGGTCCGGTTTATCACTAAAATATGGCATCCTAATATTAGTTCCGTCACAGGCGCTATTTGTTTGGATATCCTGAAAGATCAATGGTAAGAGACTTCTGAATTTGCTCTCTCTTCTCTGTCACATAGGAGAACCAAGACTAAAAATGTTAAGTGTGTTAATTCTCTAAAACATAAGTTATACTTTAGGCAGTAGTTTATAAATTCTCTTAAGTACATACATAGTTGAAAGTGTATTTTGATTGATATCATGATAGCTATTTAAAAGTATTATCAGATACTAATTTTACATTTAAAATCTTGGGTTTCTTATTTTGGTAAATTTCCTTCTTTTTTATCTAAGGAAGGTATTTGTAATAGACTAAAAATGTAAGTTGACACAGTCATCTTTCAGATGAAATATAGGCAAAAGTTGTTCAAAGTTGTATTAATTGAAAACAGTTACAGGCTCTCAGGTCTCTCTCTCTCTCTCTCTCTCTCTCTCTTTCTTTCTTTCTTTTTTGAGATAGGATTTCTCTGTATTGCTTTGGAGTCTGTCCTGGAACTCATTCTGTAGACCAGGCTGGCTTTGAAAGTCACAGAGATCCGCCTGCCTCTGCCTCCCAAGTGCCGGATTAAAGGCGTGTGCCACCAACGCCCAGCTTGTAAGTGTTACTTTCTTTTGCATAAGGCTTCTTTCACTTCATTTGCCTGGTTACTTTATGTGTATATTTTTGGTTTTGGTTTTGTTAAGTGTGTATGTATGTGTGCATGAACTTGCCACGGTACACTAGGGAAGTCAACAGACGTCAATGCACTTTACTCTTTGGGTCCCATGATTGAGCTCAAGGTAACAGTCTTGGTGGGAAGCAACAAGCACCTCCACTGGACTGAAGAGATGGCTCAGCAGTTAAAAGCATTTTTTTTTTTTTTTTTTTTTTTTTTTTTTTTTTTTTTTTTTTGTGGAGTCCAAGCTAGCCTTTGAACTGGAGCTTCTTTTCCTGCCTTGCACTTCAGAGTGCTAGGATTATAGGAGTATATTCCTTGTTCCTGGTAGTGATTAGTATTTAAAACTTCCGTTCTTGTAGACCTCAGTTTTAAATCCCCCTTCTAACATTTGTTAGGTTGTGTGGCTATTGGCTTTCTAATTTATGAGATGGCATTTATGCTTATTTCATTGGCCTGAGAATTAAATATGTTGATTCATATGATATCTTTAGAATGAAGCCTGGTATATGTTAGCAGTAATTAATCTGATGGAGTAGGTTTAGCCATAAAATGTTCCTACTCATAGTTGGCACATAATCTTATTATTAATGGAGAAACTGTGTCCAGAATTACAAAATGAAATCGAGTAAAGTAGTATACACTTGTGATTCTTGAACATGGGAGGCTGAGGTAGGATGATCGTTAAGTTTGTGCAACAAAATGAGACCCTGCTTTGAAAGGGGGGAAATAAAAGTATGTGACTTCAACAAACAAAGGGAAATGGTGCCCTTGGTAAGAATACATGGAGCACTGATCTTACAGAAGTCATGTATATTGTTCAAGTTTGTGTTTATTCACTCTTTAAGGGAAACAAAATGATGTTTTAGACCACTCACACTGGAGTGAAGACATTTAGTATATGGGCAGTTTGGTTTATTTGACTGTGAACATGGTAGGATTCCTGTTTTGGTATTTTTTGTATCAAGTAGCTTGATTTATTTTAGAATATACTTACTAGTCACTCTTTGATTTGTGACTTTTTTTTTCTTTTTTTGGTCAGTGTCTTAAAAGTCAAGGTTTTGAGTTGTTTTTTTTTCTACAACATTTTATTTATAGCCTCTTATAACTTCATGTCACAGTGATGTTAGTGGATATTAGCATAACTGGAGGTGTTCTCTTTTTATTTTGCTTCCAGGACATCCATTGGGCTTTCTTTTCCTGTTTCCACTCCATAATCTGCTTGTTGTTTGTGTGTCTTCCAACTCTTTGCACATTCGATCCATGCAGGTCAATCAGTTCTAGACTCTTCTCCATATTTGCTTCTTGATGAATTACTCTAATTTCATATTTTCCCATTTTTATCTTAGCCTCCTTTTGATCTGTTTACATTTATTCTTATATTTTAAAATTTTTTATGTGTGCACATGTAAGAACATAGAGCATGGAGAGTGGCAGAAGACAACCTCCTATATTTGGTACCTTTTTTTCTAACATCAAACTTAACAAGTTTGGGCATCAAGTGCCTTTACTCACTGAGCCATTTTGCCAAGTACTTAAGAATCTTCCTTACACTCCAAGCTTATGTTGATGTCTATCTGTATTTGAGTTACATAATGAACATATTGTTTTAAAATCCAACCAAAATCTGCTGTTCCGGAGTTGGTGATGCACACCTTTTTTTTAAATCTCAGCATCCAGGAGGAAGAGGCAGGCAGGTCTTTGTTAGTTAGAGGCCAGTCTGATCTACATACCCAGTTCACTCCAGCCAGGGTACATAGTGAAATACTAACTTTAAAAAAAATCCTTTCGGGATGGAGAGATGACTCAGCAGTTAAAAACCCTGGCTGCTGGTCTAGAGAACTCAGGTTGGAATTCCCAGCACATTCACATTTTAGTGCCTTGACATTTAATGCCCTCTTCCAGCTTAGGAGCACTAGGCTCACACATGGTACACAGACGTACCTACAGGCAACACATACCAGTACACATAAGTAAACATAAAAAGACTTTTATCTTCTTTCCATAGTCTTCCTCATTTAAGCTCTTAGCAGTTGTACATCTGTTCATTTATGATCTTGGAAGCCTCATTATGTTCTTGGATTTTCTTTTCCTTTTTTTGTTTTGAAATTGAGATAGTCTTACTGTGTGGCTGGAACTTGCTTTGAAGAGATCCACCTATATGTCTGTCAAGTGCTTATGTTAAAGGCATGCAACAGCACACCTTTTTTTGTTTTTTTTTTTTTTTTTTTTTTTTTTTTTTTTTTTGTCTTGTCTGTTGTTGTGATGTTGTGTATCCTGTATCCTGTCTAAACAAATCTCTTGGTAAAATTTGCAGTCTTATAGGCAGCTTTCCTACTGTCACTTTGAGTTACAGTCCATTTTACTTTTTGTCTGGATGATTGCAGTAGCTTGTCCCCTCTCAGTCTCTCACTCTGTTCTTCTCAGGCCATTTTCAGCAGTATCATTAACGAAATGTTAATTTGCTGACCATAGATCCAAAATTTGTGCTGTCTGCCTCTGTTGTCTGTTAGTCCATATGTATTTGTGTATGTGTGTGAGACACAGTATACTTTGAAGAGACAACTTTTCTCCTTCCTCCAAATGGGTCTTGGGGGTTAAACTCAGGTTGCCAAGATCTCTGGTAGGCTCCATTTATCTCTCCCACCCTACATCCTCTCTTTGTTCTTTTTTTTCCTTTCTTGGTGATTGAACTTTGGGCCTCATGTCAGGCCATTGCCATATATATTATTTGAAATTCATTGCTTTGTGTGTAGGTGGTGTGTGAGCATGGGTATCAGGGCATGTGTGCAGGTGAGAGGACAACTTTGTGGAGTCCGTATTTGCTTTCTACCTTTTCTGTCTGGACATGTTGTCAGCTAATACATTTAGGAATTTCATATTTCTATTTGCATTTTAGTACTTCCTAAAATAAAATTAATTTTGCACATGAAATACTGAAAATTTCACCACTTGTGACAAAAATGAGTAGAATGCAAGTTTTTCAGATAATTAATTTTTGACATTAGCAAATTTAGATTTTTAAAGATTAAATAAAACAATAAAAATATGTGTTAATGCCACCTAAGAGTTTCTGTAGTTTTTAGGGTTGGCCACTACCATCTATCTATCTATCTATCTATCTATCTATCTATCTATCTATCTATCTATCTATCTATCTATCTGGTGAGGTCTCACTATAAAGACCAGACTAGCCTGAAACTCAGAGATTTGTCTGCCTTTGCCTCCTAAGTGTCTGGGTTTAAGGGTGCACCATCATACCTGGCTAGTATTACTTAAAAAATATTGATACTTTTTAATTTGAGAATTTTGTATATGTATTCATTGAAATATGATTATATCTCTTCTCATTTTTTCCCTTTTAACTCCCTGAATATTCCCTGCCGTCTTTTCCCAATTTCATGTCTTCAGGCTTCCTTATTTATTCAATTTGTTCATTTTTTTTTTAAATCACTTGTTTATCACCAACCCCCTATCTTTTCTCTTTGAGACAGGAAGCCAGATATAGGCTTTGGATGTCATAGTATCACTGTCAACCTATTCCTTTTGAAACAGAGTCTCTCTATGAACATGAGGATATATATCATTTTAACTACATGTTTGATTTTATAACTTTGACAATTAACTATTCTCATCCACATTGATTATTCTAGGTTTTACAAATTGGTATGAGAATACAAGTATATTAGTTATTTTTCTGTTGATGTGATAAAATACCATGACCACGAGCACCTTAGAAATGAAAGTGTTTATCTATGGTTCCAGAAGGCAAGAGTCCATAATGGCAGGGACCAAATGGCAGCAGGGAGCCAGAGCAGCTGCTTATCACATTTCACTAACATTCCAGCAAACAGAGAGTGAATTGGAAGTAGGGAAGCTATCTACTATCTCCATCAAGGCTCTACATTCTAAAACTAACAAACTTTCCAAACAGTGCTGTCAACTGGGGATCATGTGTTTAAATACATGTCACTACATAGGCATTTTTTTTTTCATTCAAACCACCACACCAAATGAACCAACTCTCAGGATTGGTTATCGAGTCTTCCTCCTTCATAGGTGTTAGGCATATTGCATGTTCAGCCCAGACAACTCTGTTGAGAAAACACCTTTGGAGTCCCTGTCTCCTTTCATTTTTATGTGCACAGGGTGATTAATCTTTGAGGCCTCTCCATGAGTGTGTGCATGGATGTTGGTATTATATTCTTGAGCAACCACCTTCTAAGTGGCAGATTGCCCTTGTCACCACTCTTCGAGAACCATTCTGGTCAAATTGGAAAGGAATATCCTGAGGGATTGTGGGAAAGGGATAGTTTGCTTCTTCCTGACCATTTTTAAGTGTGTGGTTGAATTCTATATACCTTATGCAGTTTCAAGAATTATTATTTTTATTATTTGTTTTTTGTTTGTTTTGAGACAGGATTTCTCTCTGTAATAGTCTTCGATCTGTAGACCAGGCTGGCTTCAAACTCAGAGATCCACCTGCCTCTGCCTCCCAAGTGTTTCGATTAAAGGCGAGATTCTTAAATTTTTTTTTTGCTATTCAACCTCCCTCCGTCTCTCCCTCCTCCCTCTTTTTTTTTTTTTTTTTTTTTTTTTTTTTTTTTTTTGGTGTGTGTGTGTATAGCCCAAGAAGTCCTAGAATTCTCTCTATAGACCAGGTGGTCTTGGACTCAGAGAACCTCTTGTCTCTGCCTTTTGAGTGCTGAGATTAAAGATGGATTGCCATCACCACCACCACCCCACTAAACAAATTTTCTGCTCATTTCTTTTTTCTTCTGTGATTAAAGGTGTGTACCACTCCTTCCTGGTTCAAATGTTTCTTCTTCTTCTTCCTTCTCCTTCTTCTTCTTCCTTCTTCTTCTTCTTCTTCTTCTCCTTCCTCCTTCCTCCTTCCTCCTCCTTCCTTTTCTTCTTCTTCTTCTTCTTCTTCTTCTTCTTCTTCTTCTCCTTTCTCCTTCCTCCTTCCTCCTCCTTCCTTCCTTCTTTTTTTTTTTGTTGTTTTTTGAGACAGGGTTTCTCTGTAAGTTTAGAGACTGTCCTGGAACTCTCTTTGAAGACCAGGCTTCAAACTCACAGAGATCTGCCTGCCTTCAGTTTTTTGGTTTTTTTTTTTATAAATATACTTTTTTATTTTAAGTATATTGGTGTTTTGCCATGGGTGTCAGATCCCCTTGAACTGGAGTGACAGTCTTGACTGCCATGTGGGTGCTGGGAACTGAACCTGAGTCCTCTGGAAGAGCAGTCACTGCTCTTAACAGCTGAGCTATTTTTCTAGCCCCAAACATAATTTTTAAAAAGAAGTAATTTAGTTACGGGAGAGAGGTCTTAGTGGCCTCTTTTTTTTTTTTTTTTTTTTTTTAAATGAATTTGGCCTTTTGGTTGTATGTATGTGTGAGGCCATAGATGTTGAAACCTCTATCCTGTAATTAAAGACAGATGGAAGCTGCCATGGAGTCTGGGAACTGTACTTGTGTCTTCTAATGAGCAGCAAGGCCCTTAATCACCGAACCATCTCTCCAGCCACTGAAATTCCTCAAAAATTAAAATCAGAGTGATACACTCTTTCCGTGTTTTTGTGGTAATGGAAAGACAGATATAAATATTTAAGAGCTAAGTGTGGTTATATGTGACTTAATCTTTATTTCAGAGCTTATTATATGGGTATGGTTTCTGTGTGAAGGTCATAGGATATCAGTATGGATTCTGGTCTCTCATCAAACTTTCAACTGAGTTCTGGGGATGAACTTCAGTCTTGAGGCTGGTGTCATGAGTGTTTTTATCCACTTAGACATCTTATCAACTTCTGTGCTAAAATTTAGTATTACAGCTCTTGGTGGAAAATTAACATTGATGCTCTTAGGAAATTGAACACCTAGGTCTAGGTGGGGGGAGGAAAAAGAAAACATGGTCTGTTTTGTCAGCTAGGATATAGAACTATGTAGCTGTTTTTAAAGGTTTTGTTTTAGGACAGCATCTGTGTAGCTGAGGTGCTAAAACTGTGGGCCAAGCTGGTCTTGAACTCTTGCCTGCCTCTGCCTACAGTGATCTTTAGAGTAAAGGCTAGTACTACCCACCTTTGTGGTTGTTTTGTTTTGTTTTGTTTTCGAGACAGGGTTTCTCTGTGTATCTTTGGAGTCTATCCTGGCACTTGGCTCTGGAGACCAGGCTGGCCTCTGCCTCCTGAGTGCTAGGACTAAAGGCGTGCGCCACTAATGTCCGGCAATCCAGCTGTGTTTTCAAAGCTTTTAAAAGAACTCTGTGTCTTAAATGCTAGTTTAGCAGGTCAGCCTGTTTTTTGGTGTTTGCTGCTGTTGTCTGAGACACGTCTCAGTGTAACTCACAACCCTTTATGTAGGGACCTAAACTTAGGTTCTCTGCCAAAGCAGTACACATGCATAACTGTGAACCATCTCTCCAACCCCAAGTGATGATACTTTAAACAAAAATTTGTCCTATTTTGGAATATAACAGACTTATTTTGGAACTTCTAAAGGGTACTTTATTTGCTTGTTTTATTTAGCGTGTTATTAAAAGAGGTGGCTGGAGAGGTGGGTCAGTGGTTAAAGGCATTACTGCTCTTTGAAGGACCCAAGTTGAATTTCCAATCCCCATGTTGGATGACATACAATTGTGTGTAGTTCCAGCTGGAGGGGATCAGCTGCTTCTGGCTTCTGTAGGCACCTGTACTTATATGCACATAAATGAATATTCTTACAATTCAAAACAATAAAACTTTCAAAATCCCCATGTTAATATTAATAACTTTAATTATCTCTTTACTAAGAAATATGGGTAAGGGACTGGAGAGGCTGCTTAGTGGGTAAGAGCATGCGTTCCTGCAGAGGACTTGGCTTTGGTTCCTAGCACCCAAACAGCAGTTTATGATATCTGTAACTCGGAGTTCTAGGGGATCCAGAACCCTCTTCTGACCTTCTTGGGCATCAGGCACTCAGGTGCACACACATACATGGAGACAAAACACTCATACACTTAAAACCTAAAATATTCTGTTTAAGAAGAGAATGAATTATAAATGGAACCATTAGATAAAGCTTACAAGATAGGTAAGAGTAACAAAAAGAAAAAGTGAAGTCAGATAAGAATACAGTGATTTAAATTATCGAAGAAATAGGCTCATTGTAAGAAAAAAATGGCAATTATACACACATTAGTTAACTCTTATTTAAATTCAGAAAACATACACTTTGTTTAGGTCGTTCAGCACCCCCTTTAAGTGGTATGTTTTCCTATTTTGAAATTTAGGGCAGCAGCAATGACTCTGCGCACGGTATTATTGTCATTGCAAGCACTGTTGGCAGCTGCAGAACCAGATGACCCCCAAGATGCAGTAGTAGCAAATCAGGTAAGAAGGAAGTTTTTGAAAGACTTTCTTAGACCTGTGTATATGGATTTTAATATTTGATGTCAGCATATGAACATTCTATATTGGTACTAAATTTGGAAATGGTTTCATTGGATACATGACAGATGCTTTTCCCTTATGTATGATTGAATTCCATAGTGAGCACCTGTGTAGATTCTACAGTTAGCATTTACCACATGCACTTTATCATTTGTGCACTTTTGTAACCCTCTTTCTATACCTTACTGGCTTCTTCCTGGTGGTGATCATAATAACCTCCCACCACAGAAGTGGAGCTGATGGTAGTGGCATTGCAATGGTTTTCATGGGTGTTGAATGGAGAACTTTTTCCTTTTCTTTAATGCCTCTAAGGGTAAGGTAAGGTACATTCACGCTGGCTGGTTTGGGCAATCTCATTTTATAGGAACAGAGTCATAACCATGTGTTTATTTTGATATCCAGTCACACTGTCTGTGGTTTGAAAGGTTTAAATTGTTAAAATCTATGTTTTAGTTCACCAACCTCTACTTTAAAGTATTCTGATTTACTGAGCATTTTTATTGTTAAACATCTCTCAATTTATGAAATACTTTCCTCTTCTCTCCCTATTTTTAAAGTTGATTCCCTGTCTCTGTCTCTCTAAGACATGGTTTATCTGTGTAACAGTCCTCCTGGCTGGCTGTTCTTGAAAATACAAAGATCCACTTGCCTCTGCCTTTTTGGCCATTGTTGTTCACTTTTTTTTTTTTTTTTTTCCTTCCTTTTCGAGACAGGGTTTCTCTGTGTAGCTTTGAAGCCTATCCTGGCACTCGCTCTGGAGACCAGGCTGGCCTCGAACTCAGAGATCTCCCTGCCTCTGCCTCCTGAGTGCTGGTACTAAAGGCGTGCGCCACCAGTGCCCGGCCTGTTAATCATTTTTAATGAGAGCTATTGGCTCCTACTGTAGTTCCCCTTCCATTGTATGCACTCCCTGGATGATCAAAGCACCGTGCTTGACCTCTGAACCCCAGATCCTGCCTGTGTGGAGGTGTACTCTAATCCCAGCCATTGGCAGGCAGACACAGGTGGACCTCTGTGAGTTCATGGTCAGCCTGCTGTACTAAGTAAATTCCAGACCAGACAGAGTTAAAAAGTAAGACCCTGTTTCAAAACTAACAACCCAAATCAACTGTTATTCACTCATGACCTAACACTTACATTTCAGAGGTTTTCCATGATTTAAGCTATTGAACATGTTTTAACTCATAATGTTATTCGAATTCATGAATTTTTGGGATTGTAATCATTTTAATTTTTATACTGTTTTCCTTGTTTCTCCTTTGGGAAACATTTCTTATCGAATATCCTTATATTTTTTAGAACTGTCCCTGTGTATGTGTGCTTGCGAACATACTTGCTTGATGTCTAAGCGTGGGCATAGGTACCTCACAGCAGCCATGTTACCTAAGTTTCAGGCTTCAAACTGTTCTTGTATTTGTTTTTTTCCTTTGAGATAGGGTTTCTCTTTGTAGCTCAAATTGTCCTGGAACTTGCTTTGTAGATCAGGCTGGCCTCAAAGTCACAGATCCACCTATTTCTGACTCCTGAGTGTTGGGATTAAAGGTGTATGCCACCACTGCCAGGCTTTTAGTTATCAAATTCAACTTGTCAGGCTTATGCGGTGTCCTTAGCTGCTGAACTATCTTCCCGGCCCAAATTTCTTTATCCTTAAGTTCTTTAAGAACAAAACAAAAGGACTTATTTTTAAAATTATATATATATGTGTGTCTTTGGGTATGAGCATTTGAGTGCCAGTACCTGTTGAGGTCTAAATAAGGTAATATATCCTTGATTTTGGCCACCTAATATTGGTGCTGGGAAGAGACACCTCTTCAGGCTTCCCTTCTCTCTTCCTTCTGCTTGAAGATCTGCTTATTCTTTTTTATGCGTGCTTCCTTAGTTCCATTGATGGACTTAAAGTGCTTGGAATTAGGGCTTTTCGCAGTTTGCACATATGTGCTATTCATTAATAATTTGGTAGCAGACATCTTGTCTTCAGAAATTTAGCACTGATTTTCCTACAGATTTAGATGTAACATCAAAGCTGACTTTTTTTTTAAGATTTTATTTATTATGTGTACAATATTCTGCTTCCATGTATATGTGCACACCGGAAGAGGGCACCAGATCTCATAACGGATGGTTGTGAGCCACCATGTGGTTGCTGGGAATTGAACTCAGGACCTCTGGAAGAGCAGTTGGCACTCTTAACCTCTGAGCCATCTCTTCAGCCCCCAAAGCTGACTTTTTAACATCTAAAATAACTAATAACTTTGCTTGTTTGGTTACAAAGTATTGAAATACATATCTTTTTTTTTTTTTTTTTTTTTTTGAGACATGGTTTCTCTGTGTATCCCTGGCTGTTCTGAAACTAACTCAATAGACCATGCTGTCCTTGAACTCAAAGAAATCTGCCTGCCTCTGCCGCATTATATAGTAGGTGCTGGTAACTGAACTTCTGACTTTTGACTCAGTTAACAATACCATTCAGTGTTCCCCATAGCTCTGCCCAAATGAGTCCCATCTTAGATATAAATGTATTTTCTTTAGTTGAGATGCTATGTTAACTGTCACTGCATTGTCATGCTAATCGTTTTTTCCCCCTCCATGTAGTACAAACAAAATCCTGAAATGTTCAAGCAGACAGCTCGACTTTGGGCACATGTGTATGCTGGAGCACCAGTTTCTAGTCCAGAATACACCAAAAAAATAGAAAACCTGTGTGCTATGGGCTTTGATAGGGTAAGTACAGGAGGAATTGATTTGACTTCCTCATTCTAAATTGCTCTGAGTCCTTGGGACAGGTGGGCTAGCAATGTTTTTTTTTTTTTGTTTTTTTGTTTTTTTTTTTTTTAACTGTTTTGGTTAATAGTGTTGTGTTACTGAAATCAACGATTCTTTTTGTTGATTCCAGGCACTGGTAGAGGAAAGAATGCATGATTCTCTGTGCAAACCTTAGTGAGGTTTTTCAGAGCTTAGTAACTGCTTCCTTGAGATGTGATTGTTCTTATCCACTTCTTTACAGAATGCAGTAATAGTGGCCTTGTCTTCAAAATCATGGGATGTAGAGACTGCAACAGAACTGCTTCTGAGTAACTGAGGCCTGGGAGCTGCCACCAGCCACGCTCGCCTCTTGAGGAGCACCAACATCTGTTATTTTTAGGATTCTGCATAAATTTCTTTTAAACTGGCATTCTTGCCTAATGATGTTATCTAGGCACCATTGGAGACTGCAAAAAAAAAAATAATTCCCTGCTCTGTAAATAAAGCTAATTAAACGTCTGTGTAAATTTAAAAAGGGGAAATACTTTAATTTTTTCTTAATAGTGTAAAAATTCTTTGAGCTAAGCTAAAACCATGGAGAAAACATGCTACGTTAGTGTTTAGCAGTATAACAAGACTAGCGAGTTTGCTTCAGGGTTCTGTTGAATAACTAGGATTAACACTGAGTGTCTCCTGCTCACATTGTCCTGTTGCATCACAGCTACCTTAAGCGTTTGAACATGGATCCTCTGTGCCTGTGAATTTACTTGCATGCTTGTACTTGACTTCTTAGGATGGGTAGCTGAAATGACCACCCTTTTAAGTGTTAGAGATTCTTGAATTTTGAGATTTATTCAGATTTAAAGATGACCTAATCAGAGCCTTTCAGTCCCTGTGGATAGGTCTAAGGACACTCTTATTTTTTCCTTGTTACCATCCAGAGCTAAGATTCTCATGGTGAATTTCTCTGTGTTTGGTGGGAAACGTGCTGAGGAAGTGTCCCTTGTTCCATTTTAGGTCATAGGTTTGAAATGTTTTGTCCGAGTTCTTCACTATGTAAGTAATAATGTAAAAATGGGGCTGCAAATTTTATTTCTCTTACAAAAGAATTAACACTTGATGTTGCAGTATTCCCAGATTTAATAAAAGGACCCTACTTAGTTTTTCAGTGAATTTGACATTTTTAAACTGATCAATCTTTGGAAACTTGAAGGATGCAGCCAACTGTTTCTAGTAGTGTCCAGTTTAACTGGGACTTTAGTTTGCTTTTATCGGACACTTGAGAGTCACTCTTCTTGCACTCCCCATATTGACACATAAAAGCTGTTGTGTCTCACTGTACATACTTCAGATGCACATAGGAATAGGGGTGTGTTATAAATCTAGCTTTCTTTATGATGTTTCTAATAATGTGAGAATTGAAACTTTCCCTTCTCTTGTACATAGACTTCCTGTTCTTATTGACCGTCACATCTAAGTTCCAAAGTTTGAAAACTCTTTGTTTTGAAAATTCAAACACATAATTTAACCATCTTAATAAGGTTCAAGTGAATTTATGTAGGCAGTTATTACATAGGAGATACAATTATGAATTTTGAGGACCAATGCATAAATAACAGAAATGTAATGGAATCAGACTGAATTAAAGTAAGGCTCTCTCTTGAAAGTCATATTATAAAAGGTTTGTTTTCTTGAAGTGTTCTTCATCTTATAGTCATAAAATGTTTGGAAAATACTTTTTGAACCTATTAACTCAGCATAACTTCATTTAACTTTTCAATAATCTTGATACTACAAGCAATAAAAGAACCATTAAATACATAACATTAAAGATGTGAAGGTTCTTCGAGCAATTTGTAAGGCTTTCACAGTTAACAGTGACTCTTAGGGTTGCTGTTCCTGCACACTAAACTCAAGCTGCTATGTTGTTCTCCATGTTTGCGGATGCACACATTTCCTGTTGCAGCCACATCCTTTTATTGCTGTAGTTTATTTTCTAAAGATGCCAAAGGAAACAAGTTTTTCTTTATTTATTTTAAATAGCTAAAACTTTGTACTTTTCTTTATATTCTGAGATTAGATGGAATTGTGTGAAGTCATGGGCAGTTGTGCTCCATTATTGACTAGATTTTTTTTTTTAGTGGAGGTGGCTTGGTAATACTAATATTTGGATATTTAAAAGTATGAAATACTCTAGGGGTTTACCCTTTGCCTGTATTATCAGGGAATATTATCTGTTTAGACACAGATGAGACATAACTCAGATGACTAGAATCAGGCATTACCCAATTTGCTCTTGGAGACAGCTATGTCCTGCTTTGGTATCCCCACCCCCACCCCCCAGGCCTGAGACTGGTCCCATTCTGTATGTACTAAACTACTAAACACAATGAAGTGTCCCTAGCACCCAGAAAATTGGAGAAGTGTAGTATGTGGTTTCACAGATTTCCATGATGAGGCCTTTATAGAACTTACTTTTCAGCCAGGGGTGGTGGCAAGCAAATTCTCTTGTAATCCCAGCTCTTGGGTACCAGAACCATGAGTTCAAGGCATACGCAAAACTGCTAGAGATTTCTCCTCATTTTCATTTAAGTCCTCCTTTTAAAATTCTTTCCCCCCAACTGCTGGTAGGTTTAATCAGAAACAAAAAAGCTTCAATTTTTTTTTTATTCTGGTATTAAAAACATTTAGGAAAATACTAAAAATTCAGGCTTAGTAAAAAGTACCCTGAGGAAAATAATTTTTGTAATTCTGCATTTGAGAATTTGACGGTTTAAAAAGTTCTAAAAAGTTACTATTTAGGTCTGGGTGTGGTGGCACATGCTTTGAGCCCCAGGCTTTTTGAGAGGCAGAAACAGGCAGATTTGTGAGTTTGAGCCCATCCTGGTCTACATAGCAAGTTCCATGCCAGCCAGGGCTCCGCAGTCCTTGTGGAACATACCTCTCCCCAGTAATTTTAGTGAGATCTCATTTAGAGCATGCAGATTTACTACAAGTCACTGACCCTCTAAAAGGCTTTTACATAATCCAGTCTCTTTTTCTGAGCCTCTGCCTGACTTTTAGTAGAAAACTTAGTTGTCAGCATGTTGGGATTGATCACATAAAGGTTTGACTCCAAACACAGGATGTAGACACTGAAGGCATACTGGTTCTAACCAGTGTCCCAAGTTTATGTGGTTTACTTAAACACATCACCTTCAAAAATCTGTACATGTTTGGAATCTTGAGTAGTTTGCTTTTGAGAAGTAAAACCAGTGAATTGAGATTAAAACACTTATTTTGAAATTTTTTATATTCCTGATTGTTGGTGGCATTTAACACTATGCAAAAATCTTGAAGTGTCTGCGGGAAGAAACTAACTGGCAGCAGGCTTTGCTCATTATGCACTACAAATGCAGCACATTATTTTACTGGTTAGGCTGATGAGCTGTTTACCAATGTGAAAAGCAGAGCTGGACTGCAATATACATCAGGATAGCAAGTAAGATGTTCTTGAAATCCAGTGTAGCAACACCAGAAATGAAGTTTTGGTGGTATAAGGATTTAAGATGAATTCGGGCAGAAAATAGTAGTCAGGTATATTGTATACATAGATGGAACCAGTGTTTAGATAGGAAAAAGGAAAAGGAAGGTGTCTGTTTACATTTTATTTTATGGACTTTGACAAAATGATTCTGTATTAATCACTTTTTCTAGTTCCAAGGAGTAGATGTTTAAAAGCTGAATTTCCATCCTTCAGCCCCTGTTGAAATAAATGCATACCCATCAGCCTGTTGGTGTCACTGGGAGGTAACTCCAAGTTCTCACTGTTGCATAGACTTTTCTCAAGCATGACTTCCAGTGTCTACACATATAGTGATACTGTTTGCAATGTTGAAATGCACAGTACAAATCCACTGCTTAAGGTAGGGGAATGATGGTGTCTCCCTTGCCTATCATGCTCTGTTACTGCTTTATTTACTGCTAGGACCTCAGAAGCCTCAATCATCACCACAAGGTGTCATGATTGTGTCACCTTTGGCTTGGTTCGTCCACCAAGCTGCTGTCTGATCAGGTGTGGCACAGGTTTGTTTAGTTCAGAGGCAAGCACTTCCAGTCCTTGCACTGTGCGGTAGCTCTGATCATGTCTGCTTTCTGTCATCTACTTTTTACAGGCATCATAATAAAAGCTAGACAATTTCTTTTGGAGAAAAGAGACTTATTTAATGTAATTTAAAGACTTTTCCAATAGAAAATGAAATATTATTGAAAATATCTATTTTTTAGCTTTCAGCAATTGATGGTGCTTTGTTGTGGTGTGTGCTGGAAGTTACTGCCATTATAGGGATTTTCATTAACCTCACTGGGAAAGAACCTTGCTTGTTAGCTTCTTTAGATCTCTATAAACAGTTTGTTAGTGATGGTAAATTCTGTAGGAGGGTCTATTCTGAGCCATTAACTTCCTGTAAGGGGAAAATGGGCTGGTTACCAGAAATACCATTGAAGCAGGGTGGGCTTTGGGTGGAGGGTTGGGTGTTTGTCTTGAGAATTAAAAACTACGAAACACTTTTGTATACAACTGAATTTTTAAAAAAAAATAAACACATTTTTAAAGATGTTGAATTTTCCCCCTTATTGGGAATTCTTAAAAATACATGCATGCACGTCCTGCCCCCCATCCCCCACATATGGTTTATGTTCTCAACCAGAAGTTAACCAGAACCAGAAAGATGCTTTCACAGTTTTATAGTAATGGTGCATGTGCTAATAGATTTGCGAATTGTTTCAGGTCATTGAATTGCAAAGGATGTTTCTGGTCAGACTTGCTTATTTATAATTGGGGTATTGTCTGGCTGAGCTCTGACCCAGGGTTTCAAGTTTTCCACTTCAGTTGGTAGTTAAGGCAGCGCTGTTCAGTTTTCAAATAAGCACACAAGTCCTGGAAAGGCTGCATGGTATCATGAAGACTTAAGATCGTTGCGGTATGTACTGAGCCTGGTGGCGGATGCCTTTGATCCCAGCACCCAGGAGGCAGGCAGCTAGGGAGATGTGTCTGAGGCCAGCCCGGTTCCAGGCTCACGAGAAGTACATACACAGTTAGACCCTATCATAAAAAGCCAAGCTTTTCTGATGCTGTTCTTTACGTATGTTTAGTGTTTTGCCTCATTTGTAAAAATCTGATGAAATGGTAGCGTTATCCAGTATGGTGGCACACTACTCCAATCCCAGCACTTGGGAATCGAGGTGCTACATGACACCACGCCTCAAGAAAACTAAAAGGGGTAGGGGAAGTAGAACACTTCTAATCAGGATTGTGTTCCATGTGAGTGCATGTGGGTACACTGCAGATCGGAGGATACTGAGGATCTTGAGATGGGGTCTCCCTGGACTTGATGTTACCTGGTTTTGTCCCAGTGCTGGGATTGCAGATATCTGTCTATGCCTGGATTGGATTTTTTTTTTTTTTTAATATAGTGCTGGGACTCAAGCTCAGTTCCTCCTATGGACTGAACAATCACCCTTAACCCTCCTAACTGTTCCCAGTGCCTCATAGCTTTGCCGAAAGCCTGCTCAGTGAAGTTTTTGGATTTTAGTGGAGAAAAGGCCAGGCATGGAAGATCAATGGGAGACGCAAGGAGCATGAGAGAGTACTAACATGCATGAAGCCCAAGGTTCAACACCCAGAACTGCCAAAAATGTGTTTAAATGTGTACATGTGCTTTTAAGATTTATTGAGAAATAATCCACCTACTACTATACAGCCCACTCATAGTATGTAATTCAGTACATACATTAAAAGTACATTTACACCTCAATAAAAGTAGAGAAAAATTTTAAGTGCATAATTCAATGATCTAATACATAATTTTGTACATCTACCACAATCAATTTTAGAAAGATTTCATTACTTTGAGCAGAAAACTTATGGCTCTCAGGAATTATTGTCATGACAGGGTCTCCTTACGCTCAGGTTAGCTTAGAAGTGGCTAGGCTTCCACTGCAGTGATGCACAATATAGGGTGTGGTGGTGCTGGCCTATAACCCCAGCATTAGGGTTGGAGGGGTAAAGGATCCTTGTTAAAAAAGTTCTTGACTATACAGATAGGCTCAGTATCAGCCTAAAATACATAAGATATTGCTTAGAAGTGGCTAGGCTTCCAGTGCAGTGATGCACAATATAGGGTGTGGTGGTG